TAATGCTAAAAGACTTCTATTTATATCCCACAAGGGTTAGGGTTTTGTTTTCCTTAATTCTAGTTGGTTTAGGACTCTTAACCTTATTCTCCTACCTAAAAACGGATAATCAGTTTTTAACTTCTGTGGCGGTGCCCCGGCACTGTGCTGTGGCATAGTAGCTATTGGAAAAAGTGTGTCGTGGCACTGTGCCGCGGCACAGTAGCTACTAGTCTTCTTCCCACATCATTCCACTGTTCTTCAGCGATGGTGATTTTTGAACTCGATAACGATGAAATTTGGAAAAGTGGTAAACATACGAAATGTAGCCCTTTGAATCAGATTTCCAAAAGTTCAAGAATCGTCTTAATCCGAGTTCTACAGCTTAGGATATTCTCAAAATACCGAGGCATGCTCAAGCTGAAACGTAATCTAGAATCTTCTCTTTACTGCAACTTCCATAACTTCTTCAATTCAACTCCGATTCTCGATCCGTTTGTTTCCAGTCATCACAAATTCTCTCGCCAACATCATCTCTCATCCAAATATTATTTTTGAGCCTTATTCCCTGAAAACACAACAAAAATACCCGTGATCCCGAAAAGTACGTTTATGAAACAATTAAGTTAATTCACGCGAATTAATCCTAATTTCCCACAAATGATACCTATAAACCACTAAGTATAAGCGTATTTTCAAGCACTTATCAAATGATCACCAAAATTAGGGTTGAAAATGTAGAGTTTTTCCAACTATTGCGATTTGCGCCGCGGCGCACTTTAATTGTGCTACGACGCGACTCCAGCGATTTTTTCTTTAACACAAAACTCTATCACATCGCGGCGTGGATGAATTGCACCGCAATGCAATTTGGAATTCGTCAAATTTTTACCGCAGCACAATGATTCTTCGCTGGGGCATAATTTCAGTTTCTTCGTCTTCACGCTGCAGCTCAGAAAAGTGTGTTGCGGCTCAGATGCGGAATTTCACTCTTTTTCTATTCACCTTGATTTATCCGCACCCAACGGGTCCAGGATGTCCAAACACCAACACAAGCACGAATAATATATCCTTTTGCACTAAATACCTGAAAACACAACAAAACCCGTGTTTATGGGAGATAACAAAGCAAGTAAGGAAACTCATTCTAAATAATGCGTTAAGACTTGAATTCCTTAAAATTTCACCCCCAAATCACAAAATAAATCCGCATTTTCACCACTCAACACAACCTCCAACCAGCGTTTTGCTAGTCCCTAGCAATTAAAGCGATAAAATCTAATCCTAACTAATCTATCCTAACTAAACCACTTCTGTAGGTTGACACGATTGCATTAGCGAATGTAATAAGCCTTTAAACCCCTAAGTCCCCTTAGCGGACGAGTTCTAGTCTTGTGAGGGTTTTCAGCGATGCTACCTTCAAACATCCTACCATCTCCTAACACACATATATCCAAAACATGAATTTCCTGGATACATCAATAAATGTGTCTCATACATTGCATACACATATAGCAATAAGAATAAGCAATGATCACACACATCCAAGAACACCCAAAAAATCAATTTCACCTTTGTTCTCAACTCTCCATCACAGTCAATCCACAAATCGTTAATCCTAGCCTTAGAGGTGGTTTCATAGCAATCTCCAAAAGAAAACAACATTTTGATCCCATATAATAGAAAACATTAAAAACACAACTCCATAGGCCCACTTTTCAGATCACTCTCCACTAATGTAGAGCAACATGCAACTCAGATCGTTAGGACTTCATTAAGCTTGTAACATTAGGCTAAGGTGTCGGGTTATGAAAGAACGTAAGGGATTCAAGCAATTAAGAGGAAAAATCTTACAATTCAAAGAACACAATCGCTCAAACCAACTTACTCTCTCAAACCGAAACCTTTTATTTTTATTTTTATTATTATTGTTATTTATTTTTCTTTAGTGCATCATTCTCCCCAACCACAATTAGATCTGTACCTTTTTCATACTTCCTTATTGAATTGCTTTTTTTTTTTTTTTTTTTTTGGATCAATTAACATAAACTTATAGAAATTTAGGAAGTATGAATATCACCCAACATCCTTCATTTTCCCACACAACAACCCCCAGCCTGGTCTTTCAAACATTCTCACAAAGTCTTATACAAATCTCAAAGCCACACACATTTCACTTTCAAAATTTTAGATTAATTCCTCATAAAAGAAAATCATGGGTAGGATATGTGTTTAAGGGTTAAATGGAACAGATTAGTCCAGGTTGAAGGAAAGAAATTCAAGGTTAAATATATACAGTAAGGCTCAACGAGGTGACTAAGGATAATAGCATAAAAGGTTGGCTTGAAAGGCACAAACAATCCAAAGATAGCCTAAATCATTTCTTAAATCATGTGTTGTCTATGATTTCGCCTCAAGTGATCATCAAATAGGTTCTAAAGTTTAGGGATCTCATAAAAACATAGGAAATTAACCACAAAACAACGTAGAGGTAAAAACGAAATAAACGAGTTACCCCCTTTCGCATAACAAATCATAAAGTTTGAAAGTAACGCCAATGAATGCATATCTTGTAATCAACATGAAATCCACAAACACAAAAGGAAAGGACATGTGGTGTCTTGGATGGAATCCATGTTGTTTGTTAATCCGCATAATGTTTATGGAAATAAAAATAAAACAGAAAAGAAAACAACATCGAAATCATAATAAAGTAACTAGAGTTTTACAACTGAAAAGTAAAATCACACACAAATAAACTAAAAACGAAAGTACATAAAAGAAAATGAAAAACAGGAAATCTATCAATAAATCCACCTAGTCTCTCACTGCTGGTCACCATCACCATCATCATCATCATCATCATCGCCATCCATATCAATATCACCCCTATCACCTCGTACAACACAACCAACAGGTGCCTCGGCTGAAAACCCCATGGGTAGACAAGAAAGACAAACTATCTCGAATCTAATCCTAACTGAGATAACTGAAACTGTTGGATCCACTGAAGCGTCTGTAAGCACTTAGCTTGATACATCATCTGACTTGTGACCCATGTCTGCCACTCTCTCATCTCTGCTCTCAAGTCGGCTATCGACCATGTACAAACTGGGTGGAAGATGTCGACGAGCGAAAGGCTCTCTGTCTGCGTAGTTGTGCCTGGGCTGCAACTCTTTTACCCCTACTGGTAATCTTTTGGAGATACTTCAGTGTCATTGGTGGAAGTGGTGGTCTCTTCACTTCATCATCCCTAATAACAACTCTTGCAAATACACATAAGGCAGTGATAAGGTTGGGATACAGATAGGATTTAGAAGATCTGGATGCATTCAAAATCCGAAAATGGATAATCTCCCCTATGTTGATCCACATCCCCTGAGATATGGCATAAATCATAAGAACTTTCTCAATGTCCACTATGCTAAAGTGCCTTGAAGGATATATCTTGGCACATACAAAATGCTCCCACACCCTATGAGTGAGTGTGAGTGAAGTCGTATTAAAACCTTTTCTTTTGTTATTCTGTCCAAGAATCCACTGTCCCTGACCCTCTATAAAACTTTGTAGCACCTCATCATAATTTGGGCCCTTAAGGAATTTAGAAAAATCATACTCTTCTTTAGCAATAGTTGATAACCCATGAATCTTGTTAATCCTCTCAACATCAAATCTCACCTCCTTTCCTTTAATCTTAATTCTTCCATTTCTATGCTCAAAGGCATTGGCATAAAACTCCATAACAAGAGGCTCAACAGTTGCTCCCAGTTGGGCTGTAAAGTCCTCCCAAGTCAAATCACTAATAATGTCAGTAATCCTCTTATAAGGACTCCTAAAATCAAACCCTCATTCATCCACAAATCCTCTACTATTAACAACATTATCCTTATACCTATCCTTAACACATAAACTCACAAATATAGGATCATAGGTGTCCCGTGAGGGACCTCCAAGACCTCTACTAGAATTGGCCACATTTCTATCCCTCTTGTGCAATGCCATAACAATAAATCTGAGTACCAACACTATGAAAATCACACAATAACACAACTCCACTAACAATCTCGCCCAATGCCAAATTACATGGTAGTCACACAACACCTAATACACCCAATCACAAAACACCTAATACACCCAATCACAAAACAATACACAATTCACTCAAAATCCAATCAAAATCTCGCTCAATCAACATCCAAAATCAATCAAATCCTCAGCGCCACAATCTAGAACCAAATATGCAAATAAAATCACAAGAAAGTAATGCAGGATGCTTACTAGAGCAAGAATTGTAATTAACTACCTCAGATTAAAAAGTGATGCCTAAAATCCAATTTTCCCAACTGAACCCTAACTTCGCCTTGGCTGAATTTTTGCACAAAAATGGAGAATCTTTGCAAAATCAAGTGTTTATGATGTGTGCGAAGTGATTTCTAGAAAAGAAAAATAGAAGATTAGTTGAAAAAAATTGAGAGAGTTGCGAAGAACTGTGCTGCAGCATAACTGAAACTGATCTGGTCTTTTTATATTTTGTAAATTGCGCCATGGCACAAAGTTTTGCATTGCGGCATGATTTGGATTTTCAATGCTTAAAATGAAGAACAACGTAAACGCGTCGCGCCTGAAATTTTGCACTGCCACGTGTTTACATACTTTAATTTCAAAATCGTCGCATTTCACCATGGCATGAATTATTTGCGCTGTAGCCTAATTGCATGTTTGTGTCATCGTCAGGTTTGATGCCATAATTGCATCGTGGCTTGAATAATCTGTGCCATAGCGTGAAGTGGATTTCCTGGAAAAATTGACCTAAGTGTTAGATTTCCTAAAAATTTAAACGCAGAAAATAAAATACAAAATAACACACTCCTAATGAAATTAAAACAGTAAACTGAAATAAAAATAAATAAATAAACAAAAACAATAAAATAAAAACAAGACAAACAAAGGAAAAGAAACATTTGGATTGTCTCCCAAAAAGCGCTTGTTTATCGTCTTAAGATAGATGGGATGCTCAGTCATCATTCAGGATCATTGAAGTACTCCACTTCCTTGTTTGGAGCATAATTTTCATAGTAAGCCTTTAGCCAGTATCCATTAATTTTGAATCGGTTTCCTGTCTTCAAGTTTTTAATCTTCATCGCTCCATGAGAGAACACTTCTCGAACTATGAATGGGCCAATCCATTTTGACTTCAATTTCCCTAGAAAAAGACACAACCGTGAGTCATAAAGTAACACTTTCATACCTGATTGGAATTTTTTCCATTGTATTGCTTTGTCATGGTACAACTTAGTTCTTTCCTTGTAGATCTTAGCGTTCTCATACACTTCATTCCTAAGCTCATCCAACTCGTTTAGTTGCAATTTCCTTTCTTGTCCATCCTTGTCCATGTCAAAGTTCAATCTCTTGATCACCTAATACGCCTTATGCTCTAACTGCATTGGTAGATAGCATGCTTTCCCAAAGACTAACCTATATGCAAATTGTTCGATATGCCTATGGAGCATCATTTAGTTTCACCGCACAATCTTTCCTTGATATGCAAACTGTTCTCTCCAAAATGGCCTTGATTTGCTTGTTACTTACTTCTACTTGCCCTAAAGTTTAAGGATGATACGGAGTTGCCACCTTATGTTTATTGTCATACTTCTTCAACAATGCTGCAAAAGACTTGTTACAATAGTGACTCCCCCATCACTAATAAAAGTTCTAGGGGTACCCTAATGGATAAAAATACTGTCATTAGTCTTTGTGGCAATTGCCTCAATCCATTTAGAAACATAATCAACTACAACAAGTATACAAGTATAACAAAAAGAGTCAGGAAACAAACCCATAAAGTCAATGCCTCACACGTCAAACAACTCAACTAGCATAAATGTTGTGAGTGGCATCTCATCTCTCTTGCCAATATTCCCTTTCCATTAGTAATGATCACATCCTACACAAAAGGTAAAAACATCTTTAAATAGGGATGGCCAGTAGAAACCAAATTGTAATACCTTAAGTGTCGTTTTCTTGCCACCAATGTGTCCTCCACAAGGTGATTCATGGCTATGTCTTAAAATGTCTTGTTGCTCTGAGTCAAGGACACATCTCCTTATTATTTGATATGAACAAATGACACATCTCCTTATTATTTGATCTGAACAAATTTTAAACAAATAAAGATCGTCCTAGAAGTAATGCTTAACAGTGGATAAGAATTTCGTCTTTTCTTGCAAGGTCAAATCAGGGTCAATTATACCACATGCAAGATAATTCACAATGTCAGCATACCAAAGTTCTTTTCCAAGGATGGAAAAAAGTTGTTCATCAGGGAAGGTCTTAATAAGGGGATACTCCCCATCTTGGTTTTGTTTTTCATGGCTTGTTGTCTCCACAAGTCTAAACAAGTGGTCAGCCACTACATTCTCACTTCCCTTCTTATCATTGATAGTCAAATCAAACTCTTGCAATAATAAAATCCGTCTGATTAACCTGGACTTAGCATTCTTTTACTCAACAGATATCTCAATGTAGCATGATCTGAAAACACAATCACTTTAGAACCAATCAAATAAGAGTAGAATTTTTCTAAAGCTAACACAATAACCAATAATTCTTTTTTAGCAGTCGAGTTGTTAATCTGTGCATCATTCAAAGTATGACTCGCATAATGAATAACATGATGCAATTTTCCTACTCTTTGTCCTAAAACTACTCCTAATGCGTAATCAAAAGCATTACACATCAACTCAAATGGAAGTGACCAATCAGGCGACATAAGAATATGTGCAGATGTGAGTTTATCTTTCAGATTATTAAAAACAGTCAAGCATTCATCATAAATCAAAAGGTGTTTCTTCAGCCAAGAGATTACACAAAGGCCTACTAATCTTAGAAAAATCCTTTATGAACTGCCTATAGAAACCTACATGACCAAGAAAACTCAGTGTAGCACATGGGTGCTTGCTGTAGGCAAGTTCAGTAAATGGCAAAAACACTAAATTTGTGGCCACAGTGGGATTAAGTGGTTGCTCAATTTGATTTATTATTCTAGTCATTGGCCTAGTAACCGAATACAAACACATCAAGAGTAACCGAGGTTGACACTATTTATGTACCTTAGTCTCGATGAGATAACAGATGATGAAAGGATTTATTTGCACAATAACAATATCGTTAATAGGTAGCTATTTCGCGGAATCCAACTCTATCGAGTGGCCATGATGCCTTGGTAGGGGTCAATCTTGGTCTGTGTGTAGTGAGATAATTAATTGGTGTTAATCGCGATGCTACTCACTGCCGATATGATGAGGAGCCTACGAGTCACACACTTAGAAGATAATTTAAGAATTAGTTTGTACAAGGGGCATTTTTTTCTTTTAGGATAATAGGGTATTTTAGTAATCTCACAGTGCAATTAAATTTGCTGAGGTTGTTGCCTGTATTTAATTTAATATTAAAATTAAATTAGTGAGATTATATTTAAATATATGTACGCATATATTTAAATGAATTATTATTGTCAATTAAATCTTAATATATATGTTAGTAAACGGTCCCGTATACGCAGTGGAAACAAAAAAAATTAATATAACAGGATCGTTTACATGAGCCAAGATCAAGGGTATAATTTTACATTTTATCATAAAGCAAGAATCTGCAGAAATTAATAATCTGTGTTTAGAGAAACAAATGCACGTTTGGAGGCTCCACCACGATTGTCTTTGAACGTTTTGCTACCGATCCAAGCGTAGGATCGAACCCACGTAGTCCACACGAAGACAATCTTAAAAGAACCAAAGAGGTATTTGCTAGATCCTCTTTGGCTTCAAGATTAAGAAGAAAAGAAATCAAATTGAATTGATTTAGGCCAAAGAAAGGTTTCTGCCGTGGGGGTGTAAAATGGGGGCTGTGTGTTTTTGTTTTTCAAAGAAAAATCTTCCTTTTGATGGTTTAAGAAACAAGAGAATTATAATTAAAGTAAAGTTTGTATATTCACATTATTGTTTGATGAAATGCCTAAGAGAAGTATAGTATGAGTAGAACTTTATTTTATGCTACATTGCATATTTGCGTTCATGAGTGCATTTAAGTAAGAATTCTAAGCATGAGCCATCCATATGCAATATTTTGTATTTGTGTAATAACTTAAGAAAGAATAAGAATGAAAAGAAAGAATAGCAAGAATAAAGAACAAAAAAGAAAAATAAGAAAGAACAAAATAAGAAAGAATGAGAAAGCTTGAACAAGCAAAGCAAAGTAAAGAAAAGAAGAGAAAAACAAGAAAGAAAAGAAAAGCTTGAACAATACAAACAAGAGGAAAGGAAAGAATAAAGAAAGAAAAAATAGACAAGAAATAGAAAGAAGAAAGAAAATGCATTTTTATGCATCTTGCACATGCATTTCATTCATGCATATTACCATGTATTCCACCATGGTTAGAAAGAATAGAACAAAGGAAAATAGAAAGAATAGAAAGAAGAACAGAGAGAGGAAAGAATAGCGAAATTGAAGAAAAGAACAGTAGAAGTAGAACAAAGAAAAACTAGGAACAAAAAGAAGAAGAGAATTAAGTAAGGAAAGAATCAAAGAAGGAGAAGGATAAGGGATTTACTTACTGACCATTTTTAGCTCACCCCGTTGTTTTTCCATGTTTTTGTAGGAAATAGGTGAGCAGCAGTCGGAAGAGTCGTCAAGCAGAGAGAATTGGCATTACTGTCCACCCATTACTAATTTTTGTACTGGTTATTCTAGTATATGTAAAGAATTATATTTTATAAGTAAAGAAAAATTTGGGCCCAACTATTTTCATATGCTAAGTTGTATGATTTTATTGTATATATTCTAAAGTTACTAGTAAAAAGAAGTCATTACATCTCTTTCTTCTTTCTTGTTACCAATAATGATGTTGATAACAAAGCTCCCCAGATCTTTCAGCTTGGGTGGTAACTTGCATTGGAGCACCGCACTCACAGTCTCTGAAATCATCACTTTTCCTGCGCTCATACTTATGCTGGTGGGTGTTCAACTCTTGAAAATTTCGTGCAAGCTAGCATGTTCCTGATCATATCAAGTAAGGCTAAGTTCACATTAACCTTAGATTCATATATATCAGAAAATGACTTATCCCATTTGCTTTTAATCAAGCAACCCAGAAAAGGCATGGGTGGAACATAAGGCTTCAGACACATAGGATCTTCAATCTCCTCATTCAGAATGGGTGCACTCGGTTGCTTCCCCTTTCTTTTTACCTGCAAAATTAGACAGGGCTCATTAGTTTCAGAATTGATATCCTTGTTAATTACCTTACCACTCCTCAAACTATGACAATTTTCGTTGCTCGGATTGGTTTGGCAACTTCGCAAGGACATGGCCTTGTAATGACTCTACAATTTCCTATCTTGACCTGCATCTTCCTTATGGATACATCTGTTGTTGGAATCTCTGTTCGAAGTTCTAATTGTTCTTTTCAGAAGCTTGAATGAAACTGTTCAATGTGTCCTCTAATGATGGTTTCTTTAGTTGCATGATGTGTTCAGAACTTCCTTGTGGATGGTTGTTTCTCCATGAAAAGTTTGGATGGTTCCCCACCCAGGATTGTATGTGTTCGACTATGAATTTGGGGTCTTTGGTTTAGGTTCATCATGTTCCTTACTCCATAGCTTTCAGAAGACTCTCACCTGAAGGACAAACATTGTGGTATGGCCACATTACCACAATACACATACCTCATTGGAACTACTCTGTCCTTGCCCCATCATCATGTTGCACATAGTCTTGACTTGCTTTGTCAATTCGAACACTTGCATTGCCACATCGGTGTTAGCACTCACTTCATAGATTCCCTTTGCTTTCCCCTGACACTCTTTTATTGTGAGTCGGCGTCAACATCTCATACAACTCGTATGTCTCCTTTGTATCTTTTCTCCCATGGCACCACTTGCAGCATTGTCAACTATAGTCTGGCAGCCTGTGTCAGTCTACATAGAAAATGATTCAACAATTCTAAAGGGTATCTATGATGTGACATTGACTAACAAATCAATTTAAATTTTCACAGCCCTCATGGAAAGCTCACTATCAAGTTGAGAGAAAGTTGCAATTTTACCTCTTAGTTTTGTAGTCTTCGCATAAGAATAAAATTTACCTATGAACTTGTTGTAGATCGTGTCCCAAGTGGTAAGTGAAGTTGATGCCAATGACATAAACCAACTCTTTGCTACATCCTTCAATGTATATGGAAAACATCTCATCCTCAATTGATCTCTAGTCAAACCCTACAAGGAAAAGTTTGCACGGTTGAGTAAAAATCTCTAATAAATGTCAATGAATCTTCAATGGCCATCCCATGGAATGAAGGAAGCATCTGAAAATGGATACTCTTCAACTCTAATTCCTAGTT